GCCATATACTGTAATGCAGGAACTCATATCAGGGAGAATGGGATTTTTTTATGGGATGCCTCATAATCATGTTGTCTAATGTAAAGCTCCCTGGTTATGGCTTACATTAAAGAGGAAGTTCAGAGTATAGATATATTATGACTGTTGGTATTATGACCACCTTTTCTTGATCAACGTTTTTTTCAGTGTGTAAAAATTTTAAGAAAGATTCTGTTGTAAATTTAACAGTTGTTGGCATTTGATCTTTACATAAAGCAGATTTCACCTGAAGAAGAGATGAGAACGTGAAACAAACTGATTCTTCAAATGGTGCCAAAATATGTCTGCTACATTTTCATTTGAAAAAAAATAAAATTTGCAAAAGATCCACTTTTGACTCATTAGTGATGTTTCTGCCTGGGTTAATATGGTAGTTTTGTACAGCTGATAAAATGCATTTTCTTTCTCTCAATTTTAATGAGATGTAATTGTGTGAATAATGTTGACATCAAAAATTAATTACATTTAAATGAGAAACTCTCATCAATATTACATGTTAACAAAAATACAAAGTGAGGAGAAGCTAAGCACTCAATTTACCAATAAATCTACATTTCAGATTTATGGTCACAGGCACTGGGAAGTGACTGAAAAAACTAGTGGCTGAATATGATGGTGTAAAAAGTGCAGAAATAAATACATTTGTTTTGCCTTCACATAAATATGCTAAATAATTGTTTAGTTAAATGTACTTTAGAAATCACAAGGTCGTAGTTACAAAAATGTATATAATCAACTGCAGACAGGGATTGTATTTCAACTGGAAATACAAACCCTTAGAATGTGATACATTGACACCTGGATAAGGGGCTTGTCAAATATCAAATATCACTTAACATGTGTTAATTAAGAAAAAATATGTACTGAAATCTAGAAAAATTATCAATGACATAAGAGCCAGACAAGGCAGGCAGAAAATGTGATTAAGTCTGTTTATGGAGTCCTATCGCTGCCACACAAGAACAGGACCACCTGCAGTCTGGAAGTCATTATGCCGGGGTCACGGGATATCCTACAATAAACTCTGAGTCACTTCACCTTAAATTGGGTGTAAAGATCCCATTTCCTCTCATTGACAAACTGAACCACCTGCAGGGCGATAGGACATGATGTTGTTGGGGTCCGTAGCCTGCTGCTACACTGTTGTTTGTCTATAACAGAGGGGGGCATAGAGTGCTTCTTGTCAGCAACCCGAGCAAAGGCATGGTGAGGGAAATGATTGTACAGATATAGTCAATACATTAGAACATGTGCTTCAATTGAACTAATTTCTCAGCTTAAAATGACCGTTTAAAAACAGAAACCATCAAGCTGATATGACATTGCTACCATTCAGCCCAAATTCACACATTGTTGGAGAAATTTACGTGGGAGTAATTTATCAGATCAGGACAGTCATAAAAATTTTACAGAAATTAATAAAAATATGATTGACAACTTGTTCAAACATTTTGCATACCAAGACTTTTACAATAACATTGTTCTCAAATCTTGTGAAGGTCAAAACAGTTCAACATAATATATTTTGATTAATATGACATAAGCACTTCCAAAATATAGGAAAAATCTGAGAATTGTGCATAACTTGAATGACGTACAAAAGCATTTGCGTCTCACAGAGACAGGAAACAGATTTTTTGTTGTGCACAAGTGAGAAATTGATTTGAAGACTGAACAAGTAGTTTTGAGAATTTCAATTCTGTTCTGAGAAATGCACAAAAACAACTGACAAAAACTGTTTTGTTCTGAGCAAAATATTTAATATGAATATATTTGCTTTAAATTTCTCTGAAGAGCACGACATGAGCCCCCAGGTTGGTTGGACCATAGAAAGCTAGTTAGTGACTTTGGTCTCCCGGATTCTGGGGTGTGGTCGGTTCTTGTGGTCCATTTGTAAAACGCTGAGGCACCTTCAAGAGAAATTTTCTTTTGCAGTTGTTTCATGATAATGCTTAGTGGCCTGTGGTCTCAGTGCGCTTTTCAGCTATCACGTGATTTGAAAGCATAAACTAACAGTGTGTTCTGCTCTTGCTGACAGTTCCAAATCGTGGTTCTAACCACACACACCAGCGGCACCTCTGGAATGTCTGATAAAATGATATTTATTCCACACATTAATGAGATTAATGAATCGGTGCGACTCAAAGCAGCTTTTCTTTTTTGCCTGACCCTGAAATAATAACAGAAAGGTAATTATAGTGCATCCATCAATCTGCTGCTGGACAGTCTAATTATCTGGGCATTTCTGAAGTGCTCTCACTTCTTTGCACCCATTTGTATTGTTTGATGTGTTATTTTTTCATTAATGGAGAGCTCATCTGCTGCTCCTCCTGCATGTTACAGTGGCCGCCTGTCAGTCGCTGAGAAAGGCATGATTGAGCGCTAAGGGAATGGAGATTGAGAGATCCAAAATTTCCATGATGGATGAAGATGTCATACCGCTAAGAGGTACACATCATCGAGTCATCATGCATCTTGACAAAGAACTCTTATCCTCCAAAGAGAATAATGAGGATGCTGACAACACATTGCCTATAATCAATGGCTCTCAAATGAATAATCAAGTCCACTAATTGAACATGGAATTTCTTCGTGAAATAAGTCTCTTTGTAAAAAGTACAGATGAAACCTGAATCTGTCTTTTGCAGTGATGGAGAGCTCTGCAGTTCATATTTACATAAAGCAAATAAAAACTAATGCAGAACTAACGTCTGAAGAGATCTAATACATAAAATAAAACTTTACAAATCAAATTTAGGTTGAAGAAACATTTCAAAATAACTTTTTTTTCACAAAATAAAGCTTTTGAGAGGAATGCATATGTGTAAGAACAGTGAAAAGTACCACTGGTTATCGTATCTATTTACTGTAATGCTCAACAGGCTCAGCAGACATTGGACCAACACACTTTTGTTTGTTTGTTTGTTTGTTTAAAGATATTTGTTCTTGTGTGATGCATACAGAAGAAGATTAGGGCCACTGAAAAAATATTCTGACTTTAATCTCACAATTCTGACTTTTTTCTTAGAAAATCTCAGCAATCTTTTAAAAAAATGAAAATACATCACTTCAGCAGTAGATGCTAAGCAACTGTAAATGTTAATTGGATAAAACATTTATAAATAGGATATCTTCTGCATAAGAATTGCAAATACCAATTCACCAGCAAGGAAATACTCAGAGAGATAATTATTAATTAGAAAATTATTTTGAATATTTCTATTTATGGTTACAGTTAGCCAATTGCTACATAATGTATTTTTTGATGCCAGAGTAAGTGCATAAACTACTGAAACCTATCTTCTCTCTCACAAACTGCCCACTCCCATCAACCGGACTGTAATGGATATCCAAAGCAATGATAATTACGTGTGCTGACCAGGGCATAACAAGGTTTGGCTCGGCCTGCCTCCCATCCTGACTAATTGTGCAGCATATGGAGAGCCACTTCCTGGAGCTTCCTCCCTAATGGTTCCACACAACTGACGTTTCAGAGAGAGAAAATAAAATGTCCCCAGCTGTCTAAATAACTGGGTTTGATTCCCTTCCTCCTCTATTATAAATATCAGCTGCAATAAACCCAGAACTCATTCTACTTTCAGTCTGATGGTAAGACTCCAACAGTTATCCCATGCTTTACATCTGTTTTGATGTGTCCCAATACACCTGAACAAACTGTTTCACCAAGTACAGCTGCTATAGTTCTTTAACTCATTGTTTAGGGAGGATCAGACAGTCTGAATTTCCACTGGCTTGAAAATGAAACAAGAAATTCATTTAAAAGCCTGCATATGCCCAGGATACTACAAATCATCTGACTGTCTGTCCTGTCTGTGTTCTGAGTCGGGCTCGAGGGCAGAGTCACCCCTATCTGATAAACATTCCCTTCCTTCCCTGTAGCAATAGAGTATGGGGAGTGAATGGAAAAATGTACAGTTTGGGTTTGGTTACAGCTGTAGAGGCAATCATGGACAGGTTAATAGTAAAACTGTGGCATGGTCTCAAATTTAATTTCAATAAGATCATTAAAAATTTGAGACAAGTCATTCTACTTGAATCAAGTGTCTTGTAAACGGCTCATAAATGTCCAGCTCTCTTTGTAAACACTTGGCTCAGTTACTTGCCAGCTCTGGAGGGAGAACACTTACTCATAAGTGCTTCTCTGCTTTGTTTTTACGTGGATGCAGAACAGACGACAGTTACCCAAACAAACGGGGAGAAGCATGAATGACTAAGGGGCCATCTTGTCCATGTCATGCAGGGTCCCACTTGCTTACAGTTAGACTTGATTAGGTCAAACAGGTACATAGGTTTTTTATGATGGTGCCATTTAGTCTTTTAAGTAAAAACAAATCAAACAATAACGGTAAATTGTTTCAAATAGTACATTTGCTTTAAATGTACACCTCTATCTGTTTATCTGTGTTTTACATAGAGAAAGGAGCACAAAGAATTTCAGGGATTTTATTTAAGTGGCTGATGCCTGAGACAGGTACTGAAGTTCAAATTAAAATCACACCTGACTCTTTGCTGTCGCTTTAAATAGCGTCCAGTTTGAGATAAAGCATTAAAACTACATATGTTAACTTCTGAGATTTTATTTGAAAAAATTAAAAATTTTAGCCAATAGGTTGATGATAAGGTTGTGGAAATGTTTATGAGAAGGTTAGGTTATTAAACAATTTGACAAACGTTGAACATCTAGAGAGTGATGATAACAGGCTCATCAAGACAAAGATTTCCATTTAAACTGATACACCAGACAAATAGAGCAAATATATTAGAAATGTCATGGCTGTTTGTTAATATTTGTAATATGTAACTGTAAAGTATGATTATTTGGAAACTGCTTTAATGATTGGGGAAATGTCTACAGAAGTGTCAAGTTTATTTGAAAGCAGATTCTGGTATGTGAAGAAGAAGAAAGATAAACCGGAAGTAAAGAAGAATGATGGCGAGAGGCAGCGAAGAGAGAGAGGTTGGCTGGAGGAGGATAGGAGTGAGATGCCGATGTGTAATGTGAAACTCATATGAACTTCGTTCGTGATCGTGCGGTGGAAATGTGGGAACAGGATTCTCCAGTGAACCTGACGGAATTGTGTAGTGATGTGAGTGATTGAGAGGGCGCTAGTTCAGCTATCTGCTAGCTCAGCGGCTAACGCTAACGGCCAGCAGGAATTGGCTGAAGAGTGGAGACTTCAGTGCGGATTATCGGAACTCGAAGTAAGAAGTTCTGATGGAACCGTACTGGTTGCGATGAGAACGTTTTTTTTTTTTTTTTTTTTTTTCCGGACGTTGTCAGGAGGTTTATTTACAAGGGACGTTCATCTGGTAAGTGGAAAAACGCTCGGACTTCACTCGGGCCTTTAATGAACTGAACTGAATCTTTGTTAGATATCGACTTTAATTTTTCTTTTTGCTTCAGATTGGCTAAAAGTACTCTTTGATTTAAGATTTAAGTTGAAACACAACTGCAAAGTGGTATAAGTTTTTTTTTTCATTGTCAACAACTAAACAGTTGTATACGTCTTTGAAGCTTTTAATCATTTTGCTGAGTTCAAGACACACATTGACCTTATCTCTAATCTAAGCTCTGTTCTGACTGCCAAGGGTATCTGTAATGGGGTTGTGCATGAAAGAAGGTAAACTTACTTTACTTACTTGGTAAAGTAAGTATTGAAATTAGACTTTTGGGTAGCTGTCTTCAGTTTGTGGTGGGATGACTCACTGTTCTGAAGGTAGAGATACCATTATATTTAAACAACTAACTATCTCATTAATGTCAAATGCATTAGGTGAGTGTTAGAATTGTCTACATGTGCCAGGGGAAATCTGTGCTACAAAAAAAAAAAAAAAAAATCTTAAGATGGTATCCTATTTGCGTGATTAAGCTTAATAAATCCAGACTGCATTCAGCATCATAGTAGGCAGGCAACAATGACGTAACAGCATCCTGTGTTTGTGTGACATTCAACCATTTGGCCTGTGTGTATGTTAGCATTTAGCACCTTGTTAGGCGCATTTTTCCAACACATACCTATGTTGTGAGGACACACTGTTCCTTGTGGGGCCAAAAGACCAGGCCACATAAAAATAAGTGCTGTTTTCTGGATAGGTTTAGAAATCAGGTGTGAACTGGGTTTAGGTTAGCATTAGGTACAGTATGTTCTAGCTAGGGTTTAGAGCAAGAGACAGTTAGGCTGTAGAAATAATTAAAAATAAATGGAAATAAATGCAAAGACTCTGTGAAGGTAGACACTGTGTGTTGAGCATATGTGTAGAAATAATTATGTAGAAATAATTGTATTGAGAAGATGTAGGTAAACCAAGTTTTCAATTGTAGGTGCACAATTTTTTGAGTGGTCAGAAGGGTAGAAGGCCTTTGGTTACATTTAGCTTTAGTAATTATGACTAAAGGATTTCCTAAGGTGTATTTTTGTTTTTCTTAATTTGTGCAGTGTTAATATTGAATTTAATTTTTTTTCCACAATAGTTTTAGTGCTTCAAAAGACCTATGACACAATTCTTCCTTATTTCACATAAGGATGTTATGAGGATCAAATAAATACTTTTGGTGATAACATTATACCCAGATCAAGTAAGTTTACTTGCATAGCTCATGTCAAGATATCAAGCAGCTCTGTAAAATGAAACATCTCTGCTCTAGACCAAAATAAAAATAACTTCTAAGTCTCAGTGTGACAAGGAGCTATGCTTCCTTTACTCTTGAATGGAAAAATCTGGCTCATCCGAGCCACGACATCTTTAAGTTGAGTTATTCGCCTCAGCGACTGATAGATCACCTCTCCTGTCTGACTTGTGTGGTTTGGGGCGATTTCATTTTCCAGGCCCACTCAGAAGTTATCTAAATGGATTGTACAATAATCTGCTATGCCCTGAAACCACACAGAAAATAATTACTCTGTGTTCACATGTTTGACAGGAAAAATTAGTAACGATCACCCAGAGAGCAGGTGTTTTTCTTTTTCTCCTCTTTCTTTTTTTTAGTTCTCCTCGAGTGCCCGCAGCAGAAAAGGTTGTGTACAAGGCTAGTATTGATTTTGAAACCATTTGACAAAGGATAAATAAGACAGGGGAGAAGGGAGGCCTTAGCCATGAGCTTTTTGATCAATCAACATGTCACAGCTGAAACTCAATTCAATTCTTATTTATCAAAATCGCTTGCGTGGTTAGTATGCAATGCAACTCTGCTTCCTTTCAATGTTTAGTGGTCCTTTGAGCCATACACTTCACTGTCACCTGCAAAGATTTCACAACTGAATTTGTTTGCTGCAAAGACTTTATCACACAAAGGCCTCTCAAATTCATGAGAGCTGTATAAGATTAGGATTTTTCATTCACCCATCATTATCATGATGCTGCATGATAGTAAAGGACATACAAAGTGATCATAACCAAAATAATAGTCTTTATGTGTATGCTGTTGTGTAGGTTGAGTATCCAGAGGTGTTTATGTTAACAGATGAGCAGCTATTACATTTGATTTCTCATGAATTGGCCAAAGCCCCTGTAATTTTGGACAGCCTTCATGTACATTTATGAAGCATAGGTGAAAGGTTTGGACCCAACTAGTCATTTTACAACAATGCAGTCTGATTAGCTCTGAACACTGAGGGCAGCATCACCTGATTGGAAAATCCATTTCCTGCTATGTATACATGAATTCTCTTTAAACCTTATTTTACTTTGTTATTATGGAAGATAACAAAGAAGCGAGGTCACATTTTTACTGCCATTAAGCAATCTAACCCCTCATCCAAGTGGGATCAGCCACTAACCCTTCATACACTTCACTGGAACGCATAGTAATCGTTTAAACAACAGTGTTAGAACATTTTGAGAAGTTATAGGGTTTAGCAAAAAGGTTAGATAGGGAAATGGTAAAAACCCTGTTTCAAAGGCCAGCCATGTATCACAAGGTTATGGCAGACAATCTCTGGCCTGTGGGTAATTTAAACCCCACAAAGAAAGTTGAGGAAATTCACTCAGAGGTGAATGGGATAATGCCCTTTCTTATTGCAGGGAAAATAATGGCCAAAGAGCATTGATCCACATCAGCAAACTGCTAAAACACCTGTTTTTACAGACGTTGTCACACTTCTTGATGAACATTTATTGAATTGTATTTGAGTTGTAGAACCAGGCTGCTGCTTCTGCGCTTCAATTTTATAGAAACAGGACTTAAGTTGGAACCAGCAGCTTCTCCTTTTTGACCTTGTTTTTGTTTGATGAATAATGTGTTTTATGTATACTTACACTTAATTATGCTTAGAAAAAGCTAAAGACCAGGTCATACTATACCATAAAACCAACATGTGAGTTATTCCTTTCAAATGGTTAAATTTTAACATTGAGATTCAATAAAAGGTGAGTGTTTTGACAGTTCAGATTTGAATTAAACCTGAATTAATGTGATCGTTTTTCACACAAAATAGCCCTTTCAAATCGGGCAATCTCTTATTATGAATTATTAAAGCATTGAATTGAATCATCTAATGTCATTAATACATGTCATTAGTTTGCTCCGAGTGCAGTAGATTTTCTTCTGCGTGACTCCTCCATCAAAGGGAAGAACAGAGACGTTGGTTGGGAGGGAATAACAGTATTTGTATTGAGCAGAGGCGCCATTGTGTCAATGTCAAATGGAGTGTTTGCAATGCCCCTCTTTGGCTCGCTGTAGCATGAGCTTTTTTATTTCAAATATTTTCAGTGATGCATTAGTGTCACGATGTGTCGGTTCCATTTCTCAGAGACAGGCACAAGCCTGACATCCTGGGCGGATGTGTAAATACAACAGAAAACACTTAACTATGAGATCATCTTTGCCGGGGTATTAATCTTGCTTTTTAAAGGCCTGTGTGTCCAGACTCTGTCCATGATCTTCCTTGCCTGCTGTTGCAATACTCTGAAACATGTTCTTCTGAAAAAATACCCATTAGGGAGATGAATGCATTTTAGGGATGGTGAGAAAACAAAAGGAGCACATAACTGCTTTTTGGGGAAGGTTAAGTTAAGGATACCTTTTCAAAGGACTTCTTTGTGTAGAAAATGTCAAGCAGTGCTTAGTGGCTCCTCTTACTCTTGTAGATACACACAATTCCTTAGCTGATGAATGACTGCAAGAAAACACAGATAGAGATCTGTTTTACAGCAACTGGTACAAAAAACAAAAATCTTAGCTATGTGTCTTAATTGTTTTAAAAACATCAGCAGCAGATGTACACCTATATCAATCAGCACAAGGGAACTGTTAAGCATCCTACTGCATGATGTTGGTATTCCAGGTCATGTCCCTCACATAGAATGGATCTTGGTCCTATTTACTGAGAGCACATCACAAAACTCAAAATGGGCACAAGGCATGTATTGCAATACATTAAACTCTGATAACTGAAGAAAAAAAAAACAGCCATGAAATTGTTGGCTTCTCTTGCTTTAAATATTAGTGCAGGGGTCGGCAACCCAAAATATTGAAAGAGCCATGTTGGACCAAAAAAACAAAAAACAAATCTGGAGCCGCAAAAAAATAAGGCTTATTATAAAGGCAAGGCTTTAAGTGTTTACATCAGCCTAACCACTTTGTTACTAAATAGATGTGCCTATGGCAGGATTGTGTCCTTACCCGTTTAATGTGACTTCTGTTTACGGACATCACTGGACAGCTTCTCAACATCGAGCATGTAAGATGTAACTTTAATCTTGATGCGGCAGATAATATAGCATGCACATGCCATGTTTGCCCTCCTACAGAAACCATATTAAAACAAAAAAATTATTTCTCACCCCCATCTTTTTTCATTGTCAAACACTTTGAAAAAGCTCCACAGAGCCACTAGGGCAGCGCTAAAGAGCTGCATGCGGCTCTCCAGCTACTGGCTGCCGACCCCTGTTTTAGTGTATTCATAAGTCACTCAGCCCATTGTTTGCTCAAGCCACAGCATATTGAATTTATAGCTAAGGAACAAAAAAAAAAAAAAAAATTACCGTTGTAGTCTGATATGAAGTCGGTTAACTCTTATCAGACTTTTTTAACCTACAAAACCAAGTGTAGAAAGATTAATAATTGCTAAAGTGTATTCACACTTCAATGTTTTTTGGAGTTGCTTCAATCCAACACACCCTTTGCCTGACTTGCACATAAAATTCACTTAATTTTAATTTTTTCTAATTAAATAATTTTTTTATACCTGTCAATTGTAAAATTGTAAAAAAAATATCTCATAATCAGGACACTTAGTCATCTTCTAAGCTGACATAGCAAACTCATATTAAATTCAGCCAGGTAAACTTCAGTTAATGAGAATTAAATA